AAAGCACCATTGAAATACATATCAGTACAAAAATCTTTTAATTAAAAAATACTTCTTATGCATAAAGTACACACACACACACACACCCACATACACATATGGCTGCTTCCATCATCCTCAACGATATCAGACTGACAGTGTGCAACCGTGAAGAGTACTCAACATTAGATCGAACTGAAAATGTAGACACATTAGTACCAAGGTCGCTAAAGCTTTTTATACATAATGACTGTAAGAGGTGCGGTATGGATGTTGCTTTGCTGCAGCACTAGTTGGAAGTAGACTTTTTAACTGAAAGGATGAACTCAGAGAACTGCGACCAATTGCCCGTTTAATTGTATGCAGTGTGACGGTAGTCATCAAGAAGTGTTGGCCCGATAAAGGCTTTCCCGGCTCTTTTTTTTTTTTTTACCTCGTCATGGGTGCTTTCAATGCGAATGTATCAAGCAAGCCATAGTCAAGTTTCTTGTGGACCATATTGAAAGTTTTACGACTGCCCTGACGGTAGATTGCAGAGACCGTATCACACCCTGTCACAGCTTAAAGAAACATCAGGCAATTTCTAGTGTCCCCTATGGCATGCTGAATTTCATGAATGTTGAAGACCGTGACAGGATTCTGCGGCATAGCATGTGCATATCTGTTGAAGTGGTTGCCGGAGCAACTAGCATGACCAGTAAATCTGTGTCCTTACCAACGACAACTACGGGCACTTGTTCTTACTCTGCTACTGCTTGTGCTGTAGAGACAATCAGGTTAGTGGCATCCGCTTCTGTCTGCTTGATACCGGTACGTATTTTGTCACGTTGAGTTTGTATGTCTCATCTTATTGTTGCTGTTGGCAAGGAAAGCTGTTTTGGGTTGTGCTTGTTGGCATATAATATATATTATCATCAAATAAAGAGATACATCGGGGCTATTCGTCTCTGCTCAGCTACCTTTGTCGAAGTTGCACTCCCATATCCATCGAACACCACCGTCAAATGAGCTCCTTAATGCTTAAGGGTGCAGTAGGCGACCACCATCTTAAACAAAGAGACCATTTCTGGCACGTTGGATTGCTTGGAGAACGAATTCAGGGAAAGTGCGTGGGAATATGTTCATAAGCAAAGACCGATTCCATCTCAGTGTTGTTATTCAGGACACATGTTATTCTGTTGAACAGTAGTGTTGGGTTGACTTATGTGCTTTGTCCCCTGATTTTCACTCTCTTACTCTTGGCACCAATGGTCTTCACCTTGTCCTTACGATGTACGTAGTTTGAATTCTGTAAACTTCCTACCATGCATTCGTTTCGGATGCCGCTACTAGGCCGATTTGTACAGGTTAATCACAATTAACAGATAAGCCAGCGACGATGCCAGTTGACAAGGAGACCAGGCAATTAGTTTCGTATCAAGCAAATGGTGATGTGCCTGCAGCCATCCAACAAAGATACATCTTTCTTTATTGTCTCTTGACCTGGTACTTTGCTGTATGTCTTTATGCTGCTCTGGTGTACCAGTGTGTACTCCGGTGAACTGTTCCAGTTCATCACAGGTAGGAACACAGTGAGGAAGTGCATGAACCCACTTTAATAGCCAATGTACTGTCTGTGATTCCACGTCCATGAGTCATTTATCTAGATGTTTTCAACTGCCGCATCAGGAACTTTTCAATGGTCTGATCAGAGAAGTTTCCACCCCAAAATGAATCCACACGGCGGATGGTGAAGTATCCCATTTCTGCGAATTTTGTATATTCATTTCCTGGCATGGTTTGCTCTAGAGCTTCCATCTGTTGTAAAAACAACCTGGCATATTTGAACTAGGGAAGATGTCCTGCAGCATGGAAATGTTGTATCATTTCCCTCACACAGCTGAGATGGAGCTTCCAGTCCCCTGTCATTTCAGCTGGAATGAAACATTGCAGAAGAGACTCAAATGTCGGATTTACTGCAATCAAAGTTTCCCTGTCCTACTCTGTCCTGCTGCCTGTTCAATGAGTTCTGAAATGATCTGACTTCTCAGGTACGGCAGTCACCTTCTTGTCCTGGTTGAGGAGTGCACCATACAGATTCGCTAAGTGGTCCTTATCTATGCTGTCTAAGACGCCAGGTTTACCCATCAACACGCCAATGAGGGCAGCTGAAGTAAGAATGTGAGCACGAAGAGAAGGGGAAATGCATGACCAGATTGCATATGTATGACACACCCTTTGGCGTACACTGTCTCTCATAGCTCTACAAGCATACTTCTGCCCATGACGTGGACTATATGCTGCCGAGATATGACATGGGGAGGTGAAATCCACCAAAACGGACGATTACTTTTCCTAGGTCTTGAGAAGAACCTACAATCTCTGCTGCCTTGATGTACGAGGGCTGGTTAAATGTTACTGCACATATTCTTAAGTTATATGTTTTTCACGTTGTGACTGTGCAAAGTATAGTGCCGTGTAGAATGTACTCGGATTGGAGGGGTCTAAATTTATGATGGGCAGAGTTTCAATTCTCGTACTGGTCACTCTGCATGGCCACTTTCATGAAACCAATCCATGAAGGACAAAGCTCATGTTGCTCAGCTCAAGATGGCTACATGTATATGTTCACGTGAGCCACACTTCCGGTGTTTATACGAAGCCATTCCAACAATTTTGGCGACAGAAATGGCCTGGTCTACTAGCAGAGATGACATAGCATGTGCTATTGAGGTGCATTTCCTGTTTGAAACCTTGTGACTTTTGCCTTTGCGACAGTAATTGGTACTTATGTGTCTCCATTTTCAGTTCCATCTAACGTTGAGTACTCTTCACGGTTTGCACACTGTCAGTCTGATGGAAGCGGCCATATGTATGCATGTGTGTGTGGGTGGGTGTGTATACGTTATGTATAAGAAATATTTAATTATTTAATGAAAGGTTTATTGGTACTGATATGTATTACAGTAGTGCTTTTTTAGTATAGACATTTGATTGTATTCATAATGCACCTACTTTAATACAGTGAGATAAATGCGCAATAATGGCCATTTTGGACGCCATTTTGGATTTCGGAAAGGTCTCAAGTGGTTTTACTGCCACTTGTGTGTTTCAAAATTTATTGATAAGTATTTGGTTGAGTTGCTTATGCTGAAAGACATATTTTGACATTTAAATTTGGTATTTGGGTTATCTAGTTGCACAGTTATAAGAAATACAGGAAATTGCAGCAATTTTGGGCGCCATTTTGGATTTCGGGAAGGGCTAAAGTGGTTTATAGCTACTTGTGTGTTTCTAAATTTATTAACAAGTATTTTATTGACATATATTTAGACATTTAAATTTTGAATTTGGGTTATCTAGTTGCAAAGTTATAAGGAAATCAGGAAATGGCGGCCATTTTGGACGCCATCTTGGATTACGGAAAATGCTCAAGGAGGATATACGAGGACTTTTAGTATGTTATTCTAGACATATTTCTGGAGCTATCCTGAAAAAATCAGCTTGTTACCAAAAATTTCCAGGTTTAAGCCTATTTTGACCTAATGCTCTTGGCCTATACACCATGGGCACAGTCTTAGTTTTATTCCAGGCTTCTTTATGTTTATGGCAATGTCTCAAAACGTCAGATGGAGTCTGTGCAGACTATAGAGTGCCCCTACCCGAATTAATACACATCTGCCCCGTGTACATGTACGTGCGCGTGTGCGTATGCGTGTGTGTGTGTGTGTGTGTGTGTGTTTGTAACCATATACTACACTAGAACTGATTATTTTCCCACTGAAAACATGGCATATGATTATTCACATCTCACTAGTTAAAAATAAAATTTGGGGTAATTTGGTTTGCAGGTTTTGTGGAGGGGAAAGTTAAAGCCTTTTAATTGAACCTTTACCAAATTTAGCGTATGGTGGTGGTGGTGGTGGTAGTGCGGAGTCGCTCATTATCTCGTCCTTACTTATGCTCGGATGTAAACAGTTGTTTGCATTCTTGTTGTTTTTGTTTTTCTTGTTAGTTCCTCTTAGTTCAGCTATTTACCCAAAACAGCTAGAGAGTGAGTTTTTTGTTATCTCTCTCTTTATGTATTTATTTACATTTTCTTTTATTCGAGGGTCGTCATAGTGAGGTAGGGAAGCCATGGGAGTTTTGCTTGAAGGTGAAAGGTTAATTCCATGGGTCTTATGTTTTGTGTTTGTAATGTAAGGTGTTTGTTAGCGTGTGTATGTTCCTGCTCACATCATGTTATAACCTCACTCCATGATTCTTGAGGAAAGCAGTCGTTATAGAGGAATGTCTCTCATAGCTAGGACCGACTGTCACGTTCTGAAAGACTTCAGTAGACATAGTATTTTTTTAGGCAACACGTGAATTGGGTTTAGTGGTATTTGTGTATAATTATGTCAAATTCATTAGATAATCTAGTTTATTCTTGCAGTTGATGAAAATATAATAGGTCCACCACGGCCTTAGAAATCATCACGTTTTATTGTTACGAATGCGTCGTGTGCCTGTAGTTGTAGATTTTGGCTTGGAATCTAAATGTACTTACTTCAATTTCTGACGGTAGGCAGTACCATTTGTTTTGTTTACGATGATAATAATATATCAACAACGAGTCCCTGGTTTACTCAAAATACTTCAAAATACGGGCCAATATATTTTCATTTATGAGACCCAACAGATGTTACATATTGATTCAAATTAGTACATTAAACAAGTAAACATCAGGGTTAGATTAAAAAAAGGATTTAGACTTAAACTGTTAATTTTGCATGTTGTTGATATTTTTTCAATCAGTTTTAGACATTACCAATTTTGCAACTGAACCATTATATAAAGTTCCTGAATCAATTGTTATATAAAGGAATTGATCTATATATAATTGTGTTACACTTTACTGAGAATACGTGTTGGAGGATTTGTACAATCTGAAATTCGTTAAATGAATATGGCACAAATCTTGAATTGGTACTTCAGTCCCCAGAAAAAATTATACTGGCAACAAATGAATACAATTTACGAAAGTGATTGCAAAAAAGTATAATATATTCATTTTTTCTCCCATGAAATTACTCAGCTATTTTACATCAACTGTAAAGATGAGAAGTAGGGGTAAGGGCTAGATGAACATATATTGAAAGCCTTTTACTATTGAGAATCAATGAGGGCGTAGTAAACTGTGTTGGATGCTGTGTAGTTCCATTCCCAGGGGTGGGACATACATCGGAGTAGTCGTCACAACAGTTTCCATTATCAATACACATGCTGTCACAGTAGCAACCATCGGGATGACATGAATACTCGGAGTTCACACAGCAGCTGTTTGAACAGGATCCGTTTCGTGGTGCTGGGGATAAAATTATCAGAATAGTTGGTTTCCTACATAATACATGCAAAAAATGAAACACTGAAAATAAAACATGGGCCTACCATAAAAAGTGTGTATTGTGGTAGTCCAATATCATAAGTTTTAACATTTTAAGCACTATAAAAAAAAATTACACGAAAGAGTCAAAGATGTATATGCATGTACACTTTATACAATTAATCCTATAACCATTGAAATTCCTACTACTTGCTGTGACTAAATATGTGTATGGGTGTGTGTGGTGCGTGGTGTGTCTGCGTGTAATTGGGTTCTTATGAATGTGATTTTACTTCTGGGAACTAACCTTTAGCGTTAGCATATAAACTCCGTGGTTCGGAATCAGTTTAAAGACGAAGACAGACAACCGACCTTACCTCTAGCCTATCTCTTAATCGTTTTTAGACATGTTATATTGATATTTTCTTGTTATATTCATACTATAAAATTTAGTTCATTGTACCTTGAGTGTTCCGAAACAGACATTTATATTGTCACTTACTGCGTTAACCGAGGACACGTTTCTTCGTTCTAAAATGTCTAGATTGTATGTAGCCTGTGGCACATTAAAGAAATACAAAATAAAAATTATCTATGGACAGTTCAGGTTGAGACAATTTTTTTAGACATGTACTGGCAATGATCTGTTAGTAAATGTCCCTGTGTCACAGAACTATTTCATCATATTCAAACCAGCTTGATAAACCTTTTCAACAATAATACCAGATGTAAAATATAAACAAAGCTTACCGCAGTACTCATCAGATGAATCTACGCATTCGCTATATCCATCACATGCGGCAGACCTGTGAATACATTGTCCGTTCGTGCACTGAAACCGACTCCCATCACAATCTAACAAGGCAAAATATTCGAAAGAGATATAACATTTATTAAACATTGTACAGGTCTTAAATAGTTTAGGCTAATTAGTACTTCTTTTAATTTCTAGCTTTTAATCAATATTGGTTTTTATGATGTTATCCTTCGACTTGATGGATCGAATGTTAAGTAGACTTGAATTCGTCACTTAGATGATTTAGGTGATACGTTTCCTCATGTTTTACATATTGAAGAATGTGTTTTCACGATTTAATTTCTTATCAAATGCTTCTCCCATTATGGTCTATCCATATGTCTAGTTTCAACTGTGTAGTATTGATCATTGTGGATCTATGGACGATAAACCTTGGTACAAAACCTCTTTGTACCACTGTTGTGAATTCGGGCCTATAGGTTGCAAAAAAAAGCAGTGAGGTGATTTGTAAAATGCTTTTCCTTGTCTCCACTAAACCTTTATTTACTCAATTAATACTTTTGAATGTATTCGATTTGTATACATTAAGCCATTTTTATGTTTCCTTGTCAGAGATAGATCTTGCCATTATCCCTGAAACGCTATTATTCCATTAACTCATCCACTCCCACCGTCCTCGATCAAATGCATATTTTCACATCCGATATCCAAGAACTTCAGTTTCTCAAAAGACTATTTACTATGCAGGTCCCGAACTATGAAATGCATTGCCACCTAATCTAAATTCTGCATGCGGAACGTTATCAAGAGACAATACAAAGAAAGGCTTTTACAATCTTATTCACATTGAGTCACCTGTTGTTTGTCGTATATTTCAATGTTAATTGTTATATCCCTGTTTTTATTAAATAAATATTATTATTCTGCCTGTATAAACTTTACTTCTCATCTTGCCTTTCTCTCCTTCAATTTACCTTCCTCTCCCCCCCCCCAACCCCCTCCCACTCTCTCTCTCTCTCTCTCTCTCTCTCTTTCTCTCTCTATCTCCCTCTCTCGTTTCTCTCAGACCCAGCTGTTAATGTATTATCTCCCTCTTGTTGTTGTACATGCAACAGTATACAATGCAATTTATACATCACAATGGGGTCGAATTCACAAGATCTTTAAATAGATTTTTAATCTGATCCCTCTCAATTTGTGTTACTTGTGCTGTCAACTACTGAGTTAACTATGTCCATCTTTTTATACTTGACATACGTGTATGCGTTAATACGCAATTTTATGTATCTGTTTTTATATATTGAGTGAATAAATGATTTTAATTGAATTGAATTAATATTTAATAAAAGCATAGTCCCTGTTTCTCACCTCCAAATGAAGTAGACACTATCCAGATGGAGAAACCCCGGTCAGTACCAAACGCATCGGTGGAGAACTGCAGCCATATATTAGGATGGATTGACCAATAGTGATCCGGCAAATCATCAGTAGAGTTATACGTCAAGTAGAATATCTGCGTACTCTCTTCAAATACTTCTGAGATCCCCGTGTTAATGCGAACGTAATCACGGATTGAGTGCAGTCTCACATTCCAGAATGTCATGACGAACTGGCGCCCGTGGACACTTTTGACATGCCACAGAAGGTTCTCGAGATTATTGTAGTTATTAGGGTAGTTAGGAGAAGAAACACGTATGAGTTCACCCCCTCGCATATTGTAAGTTGTATTCGATGGAAACACGTCTGAAAGTGTAATGAAATAGGTACACTAAAAAAATACTGGTAAAATTGTTACGTATTAAAACTGGTTGTTAAAACAAATAACCTACTGTTGTGTAAAGTGCCGTGATTTAGTAATAATGTGGTCGGTTAAAGCTAGTTTCAGTTGGTTGGTTAAACAATTAACCAACATTTGGGTAAAATGCCGTGGTTTGGTGCGCTTAGTTAATCAAAATATAGAATTCCTGCCATTCGACGGTTGGTTAAAAGTTATGATCATGTGACATGAAAAGTGCCAATAGACAACGAGAACCACGCGTCGCAGTTTGCAACGAATTTCATCAGTAGAATGGTATAGTAAATATTCGTTTAGCTTACCTTCAAACACCTTAACTATTCCTTCGAACTCCCAAGATAAACATCTTTTTGACTACTGACTCCATTATGACATCCCGGGATGAAATTTGTTGCAAACTGCGACGCGTGGTTCTTGTTGTCCATTGGCTCATTTATTTTCACATGATCATTACTTTTAACCAACCATTGAACGGCGGAAATCCTATATTTTGATTAACCAAGTGCACCACACCACGGCATTTTAACTAAATGCCTGTTAATTTGTTTTTTAACCAACCAACTGAAACTAGTTTTAACCAACCACATTTTCACCAAACCACGGCATTTAACACAACCCTTGGTTATTTTTTTTAACCAACAGGTTTTAATACATATACGTTAGGCTTGCGGTTGCACCATGCGGGAGAGAGGGAGGATTGTAAAAGTTTGAATACGTAAACATTTTACCAGTGCTTTATAGTGCAGGAAGGGATATTAAGACTTGGAGTGGAATGACAGTACAGGAGTGTTCTAAGGTGGCAGAAAACAAAGATGTTTTGGAAAATGTTGCAATCGATCTCCGAGCTGGGAGAAGTTAACCTGATAGATAGATAATAAAATGTCATGTAGCATCTGTCTTTTGTTGTTTGATGTCATTAAATAATACCTCTCTTATCATTCTATGTCCTAGCTTGTCTGCACATTTTCTTCTCGCATTAGTTCCTCCCTGCAAAATGGTATTTACCAAGTTATTATTCCACCTAGTTCCATTCCCATATGCCCAAACCAATACTAAAGGGTTCATGCTATGTGAATTGTAATCTCCAAATGCTGTGGTGCATTTGATGCGCCAGAGATTCCTTTTGATGATCTGGCACTATATTAACTGTATATATAGCATAAACATAACTAATCAAATTTGGAATAGGTAGTATAGTTTCTCCTGGCACTAGGTAGTAGATGAATGCAAGAATGAAGGAAGGATATACATACCTATACCGCCATCTATGCTAGGACACACGTCTTCGTAGTCATCGCAACAGTTGTCATTCCACTCGCACCAGCTATCACAGTAGCAACCCTCAGGGTTACAAGAATACTCAGAGCTCGTACAACAGCTGTTTAAACACGATCCGTTATTCTTTGGTGGTTCAGTAGATTCTGAAGAAAAAGCAAAACAACAACCCCATGACCCATATTCTGAAGTCTGATTTAACTATGAATCTAGGTTTAAGTCTAGTCTAAGTCTCGCCTAACTCTTAAATTAAACCTAGGTTCAAGTCAGGTCCAGGTCTATTAAACTTTGTACATATATATGTAGTTTAAGTCTGGTTAAGTCTTCTCCGCACAGAATTTGTTTATATGCGCTTTTGTATAAAAAATATAACATGGAAAGAACACACAAACTTTGTTTAGTTTAGCGATGCTAGTCGTGATAAAAAAAATAGTAAAACCTGACGAGAAACGTCTATTTAAAGTAATTTCGATTCTTAAATGCCATCTTTCATGTTACAAATCCTAAACTGCATGTAAAGTGAATGATAGAGTGCGCATACATGGTCAAAACTACACCGCCGCATTTTCTTGTGAAAATAACACAGTCCTTACTCGGATTTTGATGAGATTTCAGGCACACTTATTTTTTAGAATATAAGAATCGAGATCAAGCAGTAGTGTAATACGACAGAAAAATATTGTCACTTTCAAGTAAAATGATAGATGTGCAGAAATAAGGCTCCACATCGTTCCTGTACATACGGGTGGATCATCCGACCATTGACCCTTTTCACATGTTATTTCCCTAGATCCCACCAAGCTGTAGTCTTCTTCACATTCAGCAGCTATAACACGGTATGGTATGGTATGGTATGTATTCTCCAAATCATTTTTGTTTATAATTTCTTTTTAAATACCAAAAAAATGAAAAGTACATAATTATACAAATCAAGAATATAGTGAATGGCTAAACAACCCACTCAGCTTTGTCAATATGAAAATTGAATAAAAAGTAAACTAACAATAAAAACAAAATACAGCAATACGGTGAAGTGAAGGACAGCATTTTAATCAATTATGTCTCTTAATTTAATTAATTAAAAGCTCCAGTGTGGGTATATGTGCGTTTGTACGTGCGTGTATGTATGTGTGTGTGTGTGTGAGAGAGAGAGAGAGAGAAAGCGCGCACATGTATAAATTTTATTCTGTATCTTATTTTTAAAATCCTTAATTAATGTATTGAAATGTGTCTTTTATTTTTGTCTACTCGCTCTAATTATTGAATTTTATTATGTATTAATTGACTAAAAAGTGTCGGTGCTTAAAATTCACCTCCTTATTTCTGTTTCTGTTAAATAATTTGTTATAATTCACATATTCAATTGGAATATAATTTATGTTGAATGGAATCAAATACAAAAATCGCGGGGAAAAAATATGAAAGGTTAGCATACCTTTAAACAGCATATGTACGCTGTGAGATGATGACGACCCACTGCATGTATACATGCCAGAGATATCAGTAGACATTGGACTCAGCTCTATTTTATGAGTATTCAACCTGTGCCATTGCTGAAAGGTAATAGGGAGATATGATCAACTGACATACGTATACTCAACTCACATGAATTAAGGCGCCGAATTTAGAACAGGATCCATGTTAATCTTCACAAATGGGTAGATTGTATTTGCCTTTTCTTGTTATTCCCTCTCCGTTTAAACTTTGGTATATCTAATAGATCGACAGCCCACAATAAGACCGAGAATGTAGGTCTTGTATGCTGTCGGTCTGTGGCCTTAGTATACTTTTCTGAAGTCACTAATGGTGGTGTTTCGTTGTCTGATCCCCAAGCCTAATGTTAACCATGTTGCTAACCCTGAAAGCGCTTATATGAGAAATGAATTTACCGGTAACTCTCCGTCATTCACGAGAGGGGTTGTCAGCCGAGGAGGTCTTAAGCTTAGACTTGTGAGTCTGCAGAGTACATTAAGATTCAAAGGATTTCCACGATGCACGTGAACCACGACTGTCCCATTACTAGCAACCTCATGCGATGCGCCGTAGAATAAGACTTGTGTTTGTACAGGTTCTACGAAGAAACAACATTGAATCATTGATTATTAATCGAGCAATTGGTACATTCTTATTCTTCTGCAACATAAATGAACATAGGCCCACCGCTTTAGTGCAACAGTGATCAAAATGGTCCGTAGTTATGCAGTAAGATCCCCTTGTTAGATCCGACTTTAGACCTTAAGTCACATTTAAAAGGATAACTAAGACATCACACTAACTTCGATTGTTTTCTCTCACTCTCTCTCTCCCCCTTCCTTTCTCTTTCTCCCTCTTTCTCTTTCTCACACATACACATTCAGTTAGTCTCTATACCTCTCTGAGTCCTTCAATCAGCACAGCCTATATCTCCCCCTTCCCCTCTCCATAAACTATCTTTAATACTCTCTCTTTCTCACCCTATATCTCCCCCTTTCCCTCTCCATAAACTATCTTTAATACTCTCTCTTTCTCACATTCTATTTTTTTCTCGCTCTCTCATGTTCTCACCCCAGGAGGTGGTTTGACCAAGTGGCGGATCAGGATTTTTCAAAAAATCGCGCCGTTTTACTGTAATTTTTTGTCTCTCTTTTTTCCCCTCCCCCCCCCCCTTTTTTTTTACTGGCCGCCCAAGGGGAGAGGGGGTTTAAACCGCCGAACCCCCCCCCCCACCTTAGAACCCTGCACCCATTCTCCTCTTCTTCTTGCTTGCCTTTCATAATACCCGTTACACACTCGAGGCATCATGCTAATCAATCCACGATAAATTAAAGCAAAGTTTCCACTACTAATTTTACATTCATCTTGTGTAGGGTGTCATTATCATTTGATGCGTCAGGTCTAAGACTGCGCCAGTCGCTGACGCAGCCCCATGTCTGATGTCTCGCGCCCGCAACTGGCAGATGAACCGGAAGCTGTAAAATTGCATTAAGGGTAAAACCAAATAGATAAGACCCTTTTTATTTTCTAAGAGGGCTTGAAGTTTGTTACTGCAAGGTCTTCATAGAAGAAACAAATATGTTTAATGACTATTTATTGTCAGACTTCAAAGACAGGGAACTAACGCTGTTTGTTGAATATTACGCCTTGCTGATATCCAAGAAACAAAGACGCGATTTTTGTTTCATCCTTATATTCTTTCCTTATTTGCTCAAAATCTTCGGTTGAAGCGCGTTGATACTCACGGCATATTGGTTCTTCCCCGGTCCACTGTCCTCCTTGACAAGTTCGTCTTTGATCGCCAATCAGTCTATGCTTTCCAGGGTCTCTACATCTAGCAACTATCTGGGTGCCATTGGGCAAGGCGGGACGGTTATAGTAGCTAGTCATTCTTTTATCATTCACAAACTGGCGAACCTGTCCTATGTTCCTTGGTACCGAACAAGGTTTTTCTGGAGCAGGACGCCACAAAATACAAACAATATTGAAATTAGTCGAAGGGCCTTAAACATTTTGCTCTAAATTGTTTTTCTTTCTTTTTGTTATTGTTAAAAGTTTGAGGAATGCAAGTAAATGTTATTGTTTGCAATAGTTTATGAAATATATACTCGCAGTTCAGCTGAGGGGATATTTTTTATCCTTGTGTTGGGTGAAAATGTTCCAAAATTCATCTCCTTAGAGCCGAGAGTTAGAAATGATAGGTGAGATAACTTTGTAAGATATCCTTTTCATAAATCAATAAGATTTGGATGAAGACTTTAATTAAATTCACTCTAATTTTCCTTTGAAATGCTCTCGAAATCTAAGGAAAAAAGACGCTATTAAACCTGATTAAGCCTCACCCTACCCTGCCCCCCCCCCCCAAACACACACACACACCGTTTACTAACATTCGATATCAGTCATGGAATTCCAAAGTAAAAGAAAAGAAGAAAAAAATTACCACATCGAGGCCAGGGAGGGATCCATGTTCCATTAGAGCATTGTGACGTCACAAATTGTTGTGCGACAGCACCCGAATCGCATCTTACTGAGACTTGAACCCTAGACCCACTAGGAATACCCGCCGACGAGGTGTTACCGCCACTGCCTATGACCGTGTAGCGCCCCAAACGGTCGGTTTCAGGCATGCATGGCGATGAACCAACTAGGAAGGATATAAAATAGACACATTTATTAACAAACTTAATTCCTCCAAAAAAAATATAGGGCCATGTATGTCGAGGAAGTTCCGCTTTACCATATGTCATGGCGTGTTCATACATAAATTTATCACATAGAATTGTTGCCAAGTCTTGGTGTGGTATGAAATAAAACACAGATTGTGTTGGATCACATACCTGAAATCACACTTGTACGGCATCATGCACACACACACACACACACACACACACGCACCCGCAAACACAGGCACATACATTTATTTTTTTTTTATTTTTTTTTATTGACTCAAAACAATACAAATTAATGTTATAAATAAGTTGTTTTTCCTTGACATAATTTAAAACATTTTCATTACATAGATTGTACAATTGATGAAAACAAAAATGAAATCAGTTGTAACATAAAACAAATAACCCCTTCTAACCAAACACACTACTCCCCCCCCCCCCCCCCTTACCACCATGCGACACACACACCACCCGTCCACACTTCCGCCACACACGGTTCCTAGCCTCCTCATAATACCACACCCACATACACATACCTCACACCCACACCCCCGTCACACACGCGCCTACCTTACACACCCTCACACACACACGCACACACACACACACACACACACACACGCACACGATCTACGTACTCAAGAATAATAAGAGCATTCATCATATGAAAAGCTTGATTTCAAAAGGAGCTAAATCCATATTTTATAAAAATTGATTTTTTTTTTTTTTTTTTTTTTTTTTTTTTTTTGTCTTAAAATAATGATTTCTTACATGGGGACAAAATGCACGATATCACATTCTAAAATTTCACCGGGAAGTATGAAAAAATGTAGGTACAGATTCATGTTTGATTCCAAAAGGAGATCAATCCAATTTGGTTTCATTCCAAAAAGGAGCTAATTCCACTTTGGGTACTTCTGAGTAAATCCCCTTTTTTATTTCTCCACTTTTCCTCCAGCCATGTACCTTCATGATGTAATATATATTAAAGTTGCCGCCATGGACCAATAATATATGATAAGTAAAAATATCTACTATTTATTTCTATTTTTACCATTTTTTAAAGATTTTGTGGATTTAGCTCCTTTTGGAATGAAACATGGATTTAGCTCCTTTTGGAATGAAACTGTGATATGTTGTTTACTTTCTTTTCAATTTTTTTTTTTTATTTGTGCTTTCACTATAATTATTTAAAAGGAAAGGTTTTCTGATAAATTTGAATAAAATTTCAGTGACTTTATTGAAAAAATATGAATTTGTTTAGGTACAATAACATGTTTTATTCCAAAAGGAGCTAAATCCACACAAAAAAAATCAAACAAATTTCGTAAAGATCTGAAAAATGGTAGATTTTTTCTAATCATATCTTATTGGTCCAGGGTGACACCTTTAACATATATAACAACAGGAAGATACATGGCTAAAGGGAAAGTGGAGAAATAAAAAAGGTGATTTACTCAGAAGTACCCAAAGTGGATTTAGCTCCTTTTGGAATGAAACCAAATTGGATTTATCTCCTGTTGGAATGATTGTGTACCTACATTTCAAGATCGTAGAGAAGGCCCCATGGTCTAGCAGAGGCAGATACCATAATCATCATCATCATCATCTTCTAGTGTGCTTTCTTCCCCCACATGAACATTTAATTTAATGAAATATCTTGGATTGTGTTTTTGTTATTAGCTTGTTCAGCTATTATTTTATTAAAATGTCGGATGATCTCATGTGCACACCCTGAAAGTATTGCATGAAAATTCACTTCTTTAAAACAGATAAAACAGATAAAACTTCTACTTACCGCAAACTGAAGTTAGGAATAGTTGAACATAGATCAACATTCGGACAATGTCTTCAAATCGCTTTCCTTCCATCGTGGCCAACTGGTTTGACTGCTTCGAGGTAAATTGTGAGATTATATCTTTTGTTAGTGAGACCTACTTGATGGCATCGTGCTTATCAACGTATTATGTTTATTTATGTTGTGTTTCATTTCAGGATGCCATTGGCATGGAACTTTTTTGAGGTTCCGGTTCACTTTCCGATTCTTTGAGGAAGCGAAATGAAAAAGTGATTAACCCTGAAACCTTTCACCACCTCCATGACGCAATAATGTAGTTTTTTTAACGCGTGAACCGTCCTATATTTTCATGCCTTCCTATGTTATGGTCTACAAACACAGACCCTGTATTTGACACTCTATTACAATCATTAATGTGTCTTGAGTGAGGCCTATTTTTAATTCATTGATACACGTCTGTAAAGATTACAATACACACACACTATAGGATATACTAAGGTGCTTTGGGGGCTAAAGCTCCCCTCACGTGCGGACCCCCCCCCCCCCCCCCCCGAAAAAAAAAGGAAAAAAAAAAGAAGAAAGAAAGAAGAAAAATAACGATGAATGCTGAACAAGAATCAGTAGATAATTCGTATCTCGGTAATCCTGACTTTACTTGAAACAAAGCATCAAATGATGATCAGGTACCCTAATGTCAGAATAAATAGGTAAATAAAGAAGAATTGATATTAACTGAATGGAGCTTTACTCCTAAGCTCGCGTGTCTTTTTTTTTTTACCGTGAGGTGATTTTTTTTTTCTAGAATGCCGACCAGCTAAGTTTAATTTAGTCCCTAGTAGCATGATTAGAACGTATTCTATTTTCTTTAAATACTGTTGAATGCTTTCAATAGACTTGAATGTGAAAGACCTTTTGTAGTCCCTCATGTGAATTGGAAGGCGATTTTATATGTGATTTAATTTGATTCGTTTTATACTGGTGCGTTGATTTAAACAAAAAGCATACACTCAAAAAAGTGGCGAAAGGCTGAATCAAAATGAATTTTCAAAAGATTAAAACATTAAATATAATACATTAAAAGTTTGATAGACAAAATACAGTAATTTGCAATTCATTAAAAACAAAGCAAACAAATTGTCAACAAGAACATGGAATAAGACAGGGATATAAAAAAAAGCTAGACGAGATAAATCTTGAGATAGAAGAGGGAGAAATATATTTCGTGATAAACTTTCCGAACTTGGTCATAAACGAACAAGCAAGCTCTTCCTATCTTGCTAGCCTATTGTTCATTATATTTCTTTATGGACAAGTAATACTGCATTACTGCATGTGTACTTCACATGTCCATTGATAAGGCCCAAAAAATATAATTTGGTTGTCCTCGATTGTTTTTTTTAATATTTTTTATAATTTCATACTATGTGTGTCTTTTTGGGCATTCCCCCCCCCCCCCATTTCGATTTTTTTTTTTTTTTAAATAAATATTTGTCCATAGAAAAATTAAAAAATCATTGAGATGTCAAGCATTTAAACGAACAAATTCAATTAAACACTTTAATATGGTAAAAGAATATTTAAAATTTCAATGAATATCAAGACCAACACAGAAAGTATGTTTTGCTTTAAAATACAGCACCTTTTAAATCCCCACTGTACTACTTAAGCTACTCGCGCCCTCTATATAGCAAACAATGCCCAATGCTTATTTGATGAGATAACCACCTGTCCAGTGACCTTCCAGGGTGGTGTAATCCCTCCTGTAAACTAAGACAGATGGGCTTTAAAATGAGTTTATGAATGCTCAGAACCTAATTTGAATGAACGGCATTTTGACATAGAAAAATAAAAAGGGCAACTTTATAAATACAGAATTGCGTAGTGAAAAGACGAAACTGGCAACGGGACGTATTTTGATCCTTGCAAATTGCATAAAAAAAAAGAATAAATAAATAAGTAAAATAAAATAAAATAAAATAAATAAATAAATTTAAAAATAAGAGAAGAAAACGAAAATATGAACGGCCCGAAAATGACGAGCGGGCGGTCGAGGACAACCAAGTGATTTTTTTTTTTTTTTTTTTTTTTTTTTGGGGGGGGGGGTGGGGCTAAATTTACGCACAGCCAGTGCGTCCATGCATTAATTGCACGCCCGAGTAAAACTATGTCCGGTCAATTCATTCTCTAAACTGTTCAGCAGTCTGTAGGGAATTTTATGGATGCTGCTTCGAACCATCAGAGGCCTAGAACCTTCATATGTTGGATTTTATTTTTTTAATTCTCATTTTGTACATAGGCTCGCTCTAAAAGGGCAGAATTTCGATGGAAACATTACATTTGTCTTGGTTACTCTATTTTCGAAAGCAAATTTCAATTGTACAATAAAAAATGAGCTCAAAACGATTTGAATTGAAAGACTTTATTATATTTTAGACTTTATTCATCACATGATAATAACACTAATCATGTAACAGAGCAACGAGATGACTGCCGTCGTTCACAAGACAAATTACTTTCATTTAATACCTGTAACAATAGCACATTTATACAACATTGGGGCAAACTTCAGCTCGATATGCATTCATCCTTCAGCTTTGAAAGTTACAAAATATAAGGGTTAATTACCCCCCGCGGGAAGAATCTATTTTTTGTTGTTGTAAGTATACCTTTTTCTTCAGGGCTATGTTAAATAGTCATTTTTTTTAATAATTAACATGAATAAAACCTTTCTGTACATCATAATTTAAAGAAATGTTGTTCATAATTATTAAGTCATTACGCTGAATGAAGTGGTGTAAGGAGTTACAGAGCAATGTTCCTAAAGGTTATCTGAAGGTTAATGCAATCTTAACAACTTGCTAGGAAAAGTTATGCGCTTCAATTTTAGAGCAATTTCTGAGCAATGTTCAACATATAGTCAAGTCCACTTTCTAACAGTATTATCATGAAAGTTGCCGAATTAACTAACCCTTTCATATTCATGTAAACCAAAATCCAGCGAGCAAAGATGTCCTTTTTACAGCCGAAACTTTGCAATGACCATAGCCATAATTTATTGAAACATTTTGTACATAATGGGGAACGACATTTTTTTTGGCTGACATGGACCCCGGACTGGACCCCCCCCCCCCCCCAACCCCCTTGCCCCTCTACCTTAAAAACACACCGAAGCGTGCACAATAAGCCAGTTCGTAAATAATATCTGCGCATGGGCAGATAAAGGTCATTTGTTCTCAAATTGTAAAACCCATCGAGACGAATACTGGTATCGTGTTCATGAAAGTTATGTAATCAGCATTCATTTATGCATCGACAGAACATTTATCTGATACACAGGTGGAACTATATCTCAAGAGGCAAACAAAAGGTATTCATGAAGCACCTCTATCACTTCGGCAGTGATTATTCTAAAATGCAGAAGTGGGATGGATCCACTGTGTAAAAGATCTGTGGATGTTTGGGGGTTATGCGTTCCGAAGCTGTTTACGAACTGGCTTGTTGAGAGCATTAATACTATAACTGGGCAACAGGTAGTAGAAGGACCTTGATTAGGGACTTTTAGATTCTGCACGACGAGAACGTGGACTGCCCTTTTTAAGGCAATGTGACGTCCTTTTAAGGCACTGGCAGTGACGTCACATTGCCTTAAAAGGCAGTCCGAGTTCTCGTCGTGCAGAATCTAAAAGTCCCTATTATCGATGTTGACCCTTATTTATATACACATTTTATACCTTTCAGTCTCTAATAAACAAGGTTTGGTTTTACAGCTAGATAATCTTGGATAGTTGTATAGCATTAAACATGAACATTCGAATAAATATATACATCTTAAAATACTTTATAACTAATTTGTTTGGTAGATACTACTTTCGTCTATCGAGCCGGAAGGACATTGGTTCTATGTAAAAGCACGAGGATACGCTATTTAGGCTCCCAACCTGACGATTACGTAATGCGAAGTCGTTCTATTTACATTTTGTTAGATCTTACATATTTACACTTTGTTAAATACATTATAAACTGTACAACTATAAAATAGATAATAAATCTGTTTTGAATACTTGATATTGCACATTCATCACGTTATATTGGGATACTGAAAGCATAATTTTAAAATCACAAAGTAATCATTACTTCATGAATTAGGCTACGTTTCGTCGAAAACTCGGGTGTTTCCTTTTCCTCTTCAGATGAAAATTAGGTCATTTTATCGGCTTTTGATTGGGTGACGAGGATGACGCATGTGTCCACGTGATCTGGTGATCAAGCCACTGACTTCCATTCACTATAATTTAGCACCTTGCACGCTCGTCCAAATAACTTTCTTTCTGGTAAGGAACCTTGAAATCTATGACGTCGCAACATAATAGTTTCGATATGACCAAGAGCCGTACGAATTGGAACTTTGCGTTCGCCCGCAGGAACATTCTGAAGGGTCCGGTTTCCATTTAACAAAAAGGAGCTATCATGACGATAATTCTTTCATTGTCATTAAAGCTGGTTATCTTAATGTTCTCATTGTTCACTCGTCCGGTGTAGAGTTTCCATCATACGTGTATTCATATAGACGCTCATCAAAATCGTCAAGTACGAGGTAGTTCTAAGGAAAGAAAACATGACATAAATTATTAGAAGGGGTAATAAAGAGCCCTCGCGCAGAATTTCCTAATTGAGGCCTCTTTAACTTTGTAATAAGTGCCCCTTTTTATATTTGATATTATGTGCCTCGTTTATTTTTACACGTGCCCCTATCCTTTCTAATTATTGCCATTTTCCTTCTAATAATTGTCCCCTTTTTCATTCTCATAAGTGCCTTTTTCATCTCTGGCGAGTGTCCCATCTCAGAGGCGAGTAGTGCCCCCTTTTCGCCTCTTTTGAATCCGATTTTTACTTTGACAAGTGCTCATTTTCTTTTCAAATAAGCATCTTTTAACATAGGATATGATTATTGTGTCTCCTTTTCCTTTCACTATACAATGTGCTCCTAAATTAAAGCGACTAAGAGCAACTTTTTCTTCAATTTCACCAAAAACTTGCTCGCTACATTCGCTCGCATTTTAAGTTAATATAATTTTGTTTCTTCTTAAAGGGAAATCCAACCTTGATAGCAAACTTGTCCAGAATAAAACAGAAAAATCAGAGAAGCATACTGATGAAAGTTTCAATAAAATCGGACACAAAATGAAAAAGTTACGAATTTTTGAAAGATGCAATTATTATAGGTATGGGCTCTTCAAAATTGGCTGAATTGATGATGTCTATGTGATGTGGTGGCGTAACACTTTCCCATTTGC